TACCTATAGAATCTTTTCTTGTTGCCCTTGACATCCCTGGCCAGATTTAATTCTCTCAGGGCTTTAGCTTTCCTAACCTGATCCTTGGCTGCTCGGACAATTTCTCTGTATTCCTCCCAGACTGCCTGCCCTTGCTTCCACCCTCTGTAGGCTTCCTTTTTGTGTTTTTTGTCATCAGCTGTTTAATATCAGCAATCTGTAAGGACAAAATCTGACTAACAAAAAGATCCTCTCATAGAGGAGTTGGATGCCCGACACATTGGAAGGAAAAGCTCGTAGAGCAGAGAAATACTGCAGTAATCTATGACAAACCTGCCCAATAATGATAAAATGATTAAAAGACCTGACTGGGCATCTGGCTGGTTGATTGTGTAGGAAGTGCATAGGTGCATATTTTTGCTAGTGCAGAGGCAATGGATAACACAGCTTTTGGCAGCTGCTGTTCTCCTAAATAGCCTAAAGCAGTTAGGTGAAGTGCATAGCTGCTATCAGTGAATATTCATTGGAAACTTTGTGTTTTGATAGCAAAACTTTTGCTTTAAGAGTACCTCTGATTTCACGTTACTGTGACAGTTCAGTATTGAATCTCTGCTACTGATTATTTATTTAAGCTACATCACAAGAAAAGTAGAATTTAGCAGAGCTTCTTTTTTCTGAAGCACGGAGATGATTTTAGGAGCTGGCAACTTATTTTTTTGTTTTGAAAATCAGTGTTGGCTAATGTTCAGAAGCACAGTATTCCTGGGTTCTATCATGTTTGGGAAAAACACGAGGCTGTTAGCCAAATGTTATGTTGTGCTTATCACTAGAGAGCAAGCACAGACTATAAAATGTGCATACAGAATTTTTTTTTTTTACGTTTTAATTTGTAGACTAGGTGAAATTGTTTGGTTTTTTTTTTTAATTTTACTTGGTTTCCATCTGTAGAAGGTGATCAATATGGCCTACATCTTTTGGCTGTCAGAAAATTTTTGTATTGGTTTGTAATCAGACTTTTCTTGTGGTGTAAGGCTGTGGGAGAATGAACTTTGCCACTACAGTCCCAGTATAATAAATAGCCAAGCACTACATCCTTCAGTTGTCCTGTCTATAAGGTACCAATGCTTTGTTTTCTGAAGCTTTACTAATGAAAAATGGAACATTTTCTTGTAGTGAAAAAAGAATAAGAGCAAGGTATTGTTATTGATTTCGACAGGACCTTTGAACTATGTATTCTGGTTCTGTAATTCCAATATTTTGAAAACTACACTGAATATATTGTTTTTAATAACTATCTGAAATGATCCTGTTATGTTTATTTTAGATGAACTCGCAAATTTGTCAGAAACCAGATTGTCCTTGGAAGATCTCTTCAGAAAAGATCTCATAGTTCATAATCCAGAAGCCAGATGGATTAATGGTAAGTGCATAATCTCTCGCATAATTTGAAACTAGGTAATAATTTTGAATATTGAATGGTATCACTATCCAGGCACTGAGAAAGAATCAGTTAAAATTTCAAACTCTCTTGAAATTGGCCAGTGTCCCGGTTTTTCTTGTAGTTCTGGATCATGTCTGTTTCATTAATTTTTGAAGTAGCTTTCTAATTTTAAAGCTCTGTCTAGTAAAAACCCACTAAAATGTTCTGTTTGTGCTACTCACTCAGTTGGAGGCAGTGATGTAGAATAGTTTTTAAGAACTGGATCTTGTTTATGGATTCACAAAAAGATCAATTCAGAAAATTAAATTGTTCTATTAATATCTGAACTTTGGGATTTGAGAACTGGTTCTGACTCTTCACATCTGGAATGGATTCTTAAATATTTCAATATTCTTGTACAGCTCTTAGTCATTTTCTGATGTCTAAAAATTGTATTTAATGTTCTACTTTATTAAATGATTTATAAATGGTATGCAGATTCCCGAAGAATTATGCAGTTTTAATGTAAAAAAGAAAACAAATTAAAACTCTATTTTTCAACTCATTGAACTCCTTTTGTCCTGATCACATGGGTTGTTCCCATTCTTTCTGTTTGCAAGAAATGTGCAAATAACACAGTAGCGACCATCTGTTTTGTGTCATTATAGTTGGATCTTTGTATTACTCCAGGTGTTATAATCAAAGGAATAACATTAGGCTTTGTGCAAAATAAAGTATTGTTAATGAGTGCTCTATGGAAGGTAGGAGTTTGAAAGTCTGGTGACTGTGTATGTAAATTCAGAATAACTTTGCACAGGAAATAATGATTCAATTATATTAATCAATGTTGGTGTTCAGTAATAACTAGAACTGGTTTTCCTTTGTAGGAAGCTATATGATTGAATTGAATTGTTGCATTATGATCTATTCTAAAGAATGAAATCGGCTTAACAAGGCTAAGTGCATGTCAAAACAAAGGATAAAAAGGGAGAAAAGTACGGTCAGTCTTTTTTTCCAGGACCAGCTCTGGTGTTGAGTTATTTGTTATCCAGTAGTTTAGGGGTAAGAGAGGGGAGGCTCAATTTAGTTTCCTGCCACTCCTTTTCCCCCAGCTACTCCAGTGACCATACAGTTGCTGAGATGCCCTTAGTTTCTTCTTTGGACTGGTTTCTGTCTGCGATCAGTGCCAAAAACTCTGCTAGTAGGTAAAGCCAGAATAATGCTATTGCCAAGAGGAACAGTTTCTTGTGTTCGGCAGAAAACTTTTCCAGTTAAGACTGGCTAATTAAATCCTAAAGCAGTTTTTGATGAATTTGTTGTTATCTGTTAAATTCACAAAGCAACTGCCTTTGACCACACCCTACTTGAAAAATACTGCTCCTAATTGTCAAATAAAGTTATTACAGATTCAGTATTGTCAATTAAAGTGGTCACTGAAAGCAGGCAAGTATACAATGGAAGAAGATCCTTATGCTAGTTCTATACATTACTCCTGCTACTGAAAAACTCCGTGAGGTTACTCATCTAAGAACACTAGTAGCCATTCATAACATGCACGTAATATTCTGTGCATTAAAATTTTATTAATTTCAAAACCCAGGACAATAAAACCAAAGGGTTATGGATTGAGTTATATTAAATATTGCTGATACTATGAAACATGTAGCTTATTGTATTTTTTAACTCTGTTCTACAGCTTGTGATAAGATAAAAGCTTCTTTTAAGAGTTTTCCAGGTATGGTAAAAAGAAACAGAATTTGGTGCTAAACACTTGCTTAGATACAGGTTTCTTTTGTGGTGTTCAAAATCCATCTTAAGACACTCATGCAAAGGAAAATAATTTTACTAGTATCGTGAAAAAACGGAGGTTGTAAGCAATCTAGTCTAAAAGCTATGAGATTGTACAGTTATGAACTTTTCCATCTATTGAAAATAAAATTAGAAATACTATTTAATAGAGAAAGGCCCTGTTTTATTAGCAGCACAGTCGTAATAATATCCAGTCTTTCTGCAGTAATGTTTTTCTCAGCCAATAGGAGAACTCCTAAGCTTGCAGTTACGTGTTTTCCTGTGTTTATTTGCCAAAGAAGCAATGAAGTCCAGTGGTACAAAAAAAGGGAAAGAATGGACTTTTTTCTTATTATAGTATATTTAATAGAGAAAGGCCCTGTTTTATTAGCAGCACAGTCGTAATAATATCCAGTCTTTCTGCAGTAATGTTTTTCTCAGCCAATAGGAGAACTCCTAAGCTTGCAGTTACGTGTTTTCCTGTGTTTATTTGCCAAAGAAGCAATGAAGTCCAGTGGTACAAAAAAAGGGAAAGAATGGACTTTTTTCTTATTATAGTATGTGTGTGTATGGGAATAGAGGAAAAAGTTGGGATAATTAAGGGTTTTACTAATTCTTTAGTATTTGTGATAAACACAGAAAAATTATGTATAGATTTTTTTTTTTTCATTTTCTTTGAAAATTTCCAGTATGGTCAATGAAATAAATATCTTAGACAATAAACAAAATGAGGAGGAGTCTTGCAAAGCAGCATTTCTGCTTCCTGCTTCTGTTTTTATTTTTAAGACTTAGGATAAGATTATATTTTCTTTCCTGGCATGGTAACATTGCAGTGGTGGCATTATATGCATGGAGAATGAAATACATAATTTAATATTCAGCATTCATTACTGTGGAGCTGGAGGGGAGCATTTGGCACTTTCTTTGGATATTGGCAGGGTAAGTGCTTCTGGACTCTGCGCAGGAAGATTTTAGTGGAAAATAAGTAGGTAGGTACTACTACTTTTTGCTCCTCTTGGGATAGAATAATTTGTATCCATCTGAAAGTTTTATCATCTTGACCTCCTGCGAAGGGATGGGAATAGAGGTTGAAAAAGTGATTCCTGCTGCAAACAGTTTCTGCAGGGTCTAGAGCATATTTTGTAGAAAAAAATGTCTGATTTAAGTATTTCAAGTGCTGGATGAATCACTGTGTTCTTAGGTAAGGTCTGGTATTTAACTGATGCCATTTAATGAAACTTTCCATGCTGCTGTTTGAATTTCTCTAGCATTATCTTCCAAACACAATGTTATTTCTTCCCTGTTTGCAAGTTCCTCCACTACAAAAATCATCCCCACGTAGTTATTTATAGTCTACTCTTTAATAAGAAAAGATCTTACATACAGAAGTTTTTACAGTCCATTTCCTTTTCTGCTTGAACCTGAGTCCACAATTTTACGTGCTTGCCACCAAAGTTAATAATTATGCAAATGTTTAAACGTGCAGAGGAAATGTTGTTCCTTACCTGAGATAATCAGCTGTTGCCAAAGAAAATAAAAAGAAAGATTTTGAGCTAGTTTTAAAAGTGGCAAAATATATTCACATTTCATGTAATTTGAGGATGTACCTATGCAGGTATCTTTCAGATTTCTTCCTCCTTTTCCTTTTTTCTTATTTTTTTGTTTTACTTCAAAGGCAAAATTTTTCAAACCTGACTTGGATTTTTGTCTCTTTTTGTAAGAATTTACAAAGGAAAGAGAAAGAAAACATGGATGATGGCTGGTGTTTTTCTTGAAAATAGTAACTTAGTAGTTTACTAAGCTTTTTCAATTATAAATCTGATCACTTCAACTGTATTTAAAAGGACATTGTGGAGAGCATACACAACCATCAATCAGTTCAATCCCTGTTATCTGAAAGAGCGTTTGATTTCAGAAAACATTCCAGTTGCTTGGCATAGTTTTGAAGATGTTAAATGAGAGTACCTCTTCCCTTAGCATTATTGATCTTCAGGTTTTCTAATAGGAAGTGAGAATTTAAAATGCTGCCAGTGAATAATAAAAGTACTTAAATCTGACAGCATGTTGCTACTGATAAGGGCTTCTCATTAGATGGCAAAACAGCTTGGTTTACTTAAGTCAAAGTACAAAACTGCAATGTAGTTTAAAATATCCAGAGTAACTAAATTTAAGAAAACACTGCAGTTAAACTTCCCCTATGCTTTCCCTTGCCGAAAAAACTCGTCAAGAGACTTTATGTATCTCATATTGCTTCTGTCTTGGATTCTCACCATTTTGCAACAAGGACCAGTGTCTGCTTCAGGTCAGGCACAGCATCTCATTTCATGACCACAGTTTGCTTTAGGAACATGTCTCCTGGGTGCTAGTATAGTACATTTAATGGAAAGGTCACGATATGTGATGTATTAGGGCATAGTTCTGAAGTAGCTGTATCAGTGACAACAAGAACTGTATAATCGCTCTATTAGTTGTTCATAAACCAATGTATGAATCACTGCTTATCTGCCAATATCAGCAGTCTGCAGCTGGATCTTTGAACCATACTGAAGCGTTTTTTCAGGATATTTTCTTAATTTCTGTTAAGTCACTTAGAAATACGTATGCTGGCCTGTGAGAAATACTGAGGGCTCAAAAGGTTTGCAGTCTAATCCCTGGATCTTTGGTGGTGTACTTGCATCTCTTATTATCGGGGACTCTGGCTGTTAATGACAATAAAATTCTGAATCTTTGCCTTTATTCCTTCTGTGAATATGGAGTTGCTTGCATTTTTGCTGTTCAGATAATCTTTGCCAACCTTTCCTATATGTGATAGAGTTCATTGGCTCCTTGCTTGTATTCTGTCATATGGGTATATAGTCAGCACAGTCATGATATTTTTCATATACCTGAATGAAAAGTGTTGGAGAAGGACCTGAAGTCTGAACGACGGCCTGCAGCAGGCTGTGCTCTGCAATCCTGTCTTGTGTTTTGCTGAGCTTTAGCACCTGAGTACTTGCGTATGTGCTTTATGGAGCAGGGAGGGATGTAGGCATCTGCTTAAGGCAAAACTTCTAAGATGCTTTGCTGAAATTGTGAGTTGGTAAAATAAATATTTCTCTCTTTCTGTCTTGCCTGCCTCTGGAGCAGCTGTCTGTTCCTGTATTCAGCAACCCTTGCAACACCGTGTCACGGGAAGAGTGAAGGGTAACGTGTATGGCTGGGCAGCATCACAT